TGGGGGGGAAAGAAAAAAAGAGAAAAGAAGACTTTGGTAATAAACTCTGACATTTTTCATGTTTTTTTCCCTCTTTTGTTTGAAAAAAAAAAAAGAGAGAAACAGTTGGGTTTGATAACCCTAAAGGAACGTTTTTTTGTCCTCTCTGTTAAAGGGAAGCAAAAAGAAAATAATGAGTTTGGGAAATTTTTCCGGTTTCCTTGAAATGGACAAAAAAGAAAAATACTGGGGTTGGGTATTTTTTAGGTTTTGAATGAAATAATTTAATTTTGGGAGGTAAATGGATGATATAGGTAGAGTAAGGGTGAAAAGGGCAAAGGAAAATGGAAAATTTTTGGTAGAGTAAATGGAGTATAGGATAAGTAAAGGGGATGATATGGGTTTTAGATAAAGGGGATGATATAGGTAGAGTAAAGGGTATAGGTTAGAGTAATGGATGATATGGGTTTAAAAAGGGGGTAAAGGAGATTGGTTGAGTAAATGGAGAAAATTAAGTTAAAAATGGATGTTTTCTAGGGAAATTTGGAGGTAAATGGAATTATGGGTTTAAAGGAGTAAATGGAAAATGGATATAGGATAGAGTAATGGATGATATAGGCTAGAGTAAATTGATGATATAGGATAGAGTAAATGGACGATATAGGTTAGAGTAAATGGATGATATAGGCTAGAGTAAATGGATGATATAGGCTAGAGTAAATGGATGATATAGGCTAGAGTAAATGGACGATATAGGCTAGAGTAAATGGAGGACTTAAATATGAAAGCTACGTCTCTCTGTTTCAGTCTCTATTCCCAAGGCAGCATAACAGTGCATATGATTGTCTGGAAATGGACAGGTGCCAGGTGGCCGAAATGAGGGGAATCAGGTGGATGGGACGGTCGAGGGGGTAAGGTGGGATGGAGGAGATGTACTCCCTTTGCTCCCAGCTGTCACTAGCGGTGGCGTAAACAATGGTGATCGAGATCTAAGGTGGCCAGTGTCATTCACGTCAAGAAAAAAAAAAGAAGGTCTTCCAGCAGCCTCCTTGAAACGCATTGATTGTACCAGGGAGCTAAAGGCACAATATACTATTACCACAGTGTGTTAAGGACAGGCTCTTTACGAGGGCCAGTGACTATTGTCATATCTCTACGGATGGGTAAAGTATAGAGATAGAACCACTAGAACGGGCATTCCCATTCAAGTCAATGTAAATTCTATTTATATGGGGGTAAAGTTTAGACAGTGATTATTGTAATACTTGTCTGTGAGCACAGTAAAGTGATGTGGCACATTAGGTCAGCGTCTAGCAGGGAATCAACTGTGCCTAGCCTCTTCGACGCTACGATCACAGCTCTGACGCGATGGTGATCATCACTCTGTCATCCTCCAGCCTGCAACCTGCCTGCAGCCTCAAACACAGAGAAGAAGAAGACGCCGGGCCGACCGACTGACTCGCCGAGCTGAGCGCTTAAAGCTAAAACCATCTTCCAGGACAATCCATTACAGATGACAAGTTAAATGTTCCATGCTAGACCATATGGCATCGGAGCAGCACCGATGAGACGGGTTCGGGAAATGCATCACAATTAAGGTGTTTGGCTACAGTTCAGATTCCTGCATGGATCTGTCTCCCTACAGTTCAGATTCCTGGATGGATCTGTCTCCCTACAGTTCAGATTCCTGGATGGATCTGTCTCCCTACAGTTCAGATTCCTGCATGGATCTGTCTCCCTACAGTTCAGATTCCTGCATGGATCTGTTCTCCCTACAGTTCAGATTCCTGCATGGATCTGTCTCCCTACAGTTCAGATTCCTGCATGGATCTGTCTCCCTACAGTTCAGATTCCTGCATGGATCTGTCTCCCTACAGTTCAGATTCCTGCATGGATCTGTCTCCCTACAGTTCAGATTCCTGCATGGATCTGTCTCCCTACAGTTCAGATTCCTGCATGGATCTGTCTCCCTACAGTTCAGATTCCTGCATGGATCTGTCTCCCTACAGTTCAGATTCCTGCATGGATCTGTCTCCCTACAGTTCAGATTCCTGCATGGATCTGTCTCTCTTTTCTCTTTACTAACCACACCACACTATCCTCACACCACTCTACTAACCACACCACACTACACTATCCTCACACCACTCTACTGACCACACCACACTACACTTGTGGTCCTCTGTAGCTCAACTGGTAGAGCACGGCGCTTGTAACGCCAAGGGTAGTGGGTTCGATCCCCGGGACCACCCCATACAACAAAAATGTATGCAACGCATGGCGGGTAAGGGCGCGGGGGAGAAAGGGCGGCGGCGAACGGGGGCAGAGGGAGAGGGAGAGGAGGAGAGTAGGACACGAGCCGCACACCCACGCGACGAATCCACACCACACGACCACGATCCGCACAGCCACGGACGATCCACACGCACACGATGCCGCACAACCACCGCGACGAACCAGGCACCCACACGACACGAGGCCGCACACCACGCGACGAACCGACACCACACGAGCCGCACCACCACGCGACGAATTCCACACCCACACGGAGCCGCACACCACGCGACGAACCCACACCACACGACACGAGCCCACACCACGCGACGAACCACACACACGACACGAGCCGCACACCACGCGACGAACCACACCACACGACACGAGCCGCACACCACGCGACGAACCACACCACACTGACACGATCCGCACACCACGCGACGAACCACACCACACGACACGAGCCGCACGCCACGCTACTAACCACACCACACGACACGAGCCGTCACCACGCGACTAACCACACCACACGACACTATCCGCACACCACGCGACAAACCACACCACACTACCTCACACCACGCGAATAACCACACCACACCACACTATCCTCACACCACTCTACTAACCACACCACACTACACTATCCTCACACCACTCTACTAGCCACACCACACTAGACCCTCCTCACACCACTCTACTAACCACACCACACCACACATCCTCAACACTCTACCTGACCACACCACACACACAGCCGCACACCACGGACGAACCACACCACACGAGCCGCACACCACGCAAGTAACCACACCACACGAAACTAGCCGCACACAACGCGACTAACCACACCACACCACACGATCCGCAACACCACCTACTAACCCACACCACACGACACGAGCCGCACACAACGCGACGAACCACACCACACGAGCCGCACACCACTCAAGGAACACACCACACACACGAGCCCACACCACGTACTAACCACACCACACAGCGCACACAACGCGACGGACCACACCACACGAGCCGCACACCACTCGACGAACGTACACCACACCACACTAGCCGCAAACCACGCTACGAACCACACCACACCACACTAAGCCGCACACCAACTCCACGGACCACACCACACCACACTAGCCTCACACCACGCACTAACCACACCACACCACACTAGCCGTCACACCACCGACAAACCACAACCACACTACACATCCTCACACCACGCTACGAACCACACCACACACACTAGCCCACACCACTCTACTAACCACACCACCCACACATCCTCACACCACTCTACTACCACACCACACACACTATCCCACACCACTATACGACCACACCACACCACACTAGCCTCACACCACTCTACTAACCACACCACACCACACTATCCTCACACCACTCTACTAACCACACCACACTACACTATCCTCACACCACTCTACTAACCACACCACACCACACTAGCCTCACACCACTCTACTAACCACACCACACCACACTATCCTCACACCACTCTACTAACCACACCACACCACACTATCCTCACACCACCGACGAACCACACCACACCACACGAGCCGCACACCACCACACCACACCACACCACACAGCCGCACACCACGCGACGAACCACACCACACACACGAGCCGCACACAACGGACGAACCACACCACACGAGCGGTCACACCACTCAAGGAACCACACCACACAACACGTCCCACACCACCTGACGAACCACACCACACGACCGCACACAACCGACTGGACCACACCACACGACCGCACACCACTGCGACTAACACACCA